ACTGATAAAACTTGAATTTACTCAACCATGGTCAAATCTTTAAAAATTAGCTAGATTTCATTTTTTACATTTTTCTAATTTTCTTTCTATTTTATATCATGACACGTTACAGGTATCCCCAAGACACATCTTTACTTTTTGGGAAAGTGCATGTGTAAGGGAATTCAATTCTTCATGGTCTTTAGGACAATTTGGAACTGCAGAGTGAACAGAAACAGTTTTTTTGTTACTGGCCGTAACGTGCCTTCAGTCCTTGAGATCATATATCAGATGGAATATTTGTAACTATTGAAGATTTTGAAGTTGTTTTTATCCACGTTGGAACCAGCAATTTGTCTACGAGTGTCTAAGATTGGGATAGCAGTGCCTACATAGATTTATACTTTACAGTTAGGGAGAATTCTTTTATCTCACTGAGAATGTCAGCTTCTGTACGAAGCCAGTGTTTTCTATAATCTTAAAAAGCATCGTTTAACAATGTTAAATCTGAGATGCATTGCCCTACGTGTTATCAGTGTCTGTGATATGGTGTAATATTGAAGCCCTAAAATGCGCTTCAATATTACATACTTATAACATGCAGGGCCATGCATCTCAGATGTAACATTGATAAACGATACCTTTAAGCTTCATTCTCTCACCACTTTATATTCTCTAACTTTTATTTTGTTGATCTGACTTCAAGCTATTGTACATACAGTGACCTGTTTTTGCATGCTGGACCACATCTCAATTTCTTCGCAAAGAAGATTTTGTCAGAGAATGTCAACGCTGCAATAATCAAATGTATACATGTGCGACGTCAAACATATGCTAGCAAGTATGTTCCTTCGGAACTCAAGATGTTGTTGACAACTGGACGCAAAAAACAGAAGATAAATATGCCTCTTTCTACTGCACCTGCTTCTCTGCCGTCCGCTTCTTTTTCAACTGCTTCTACCTCATCTGTTTCTGCGACTGCTTCTTCAACTGCTTCTATCTCATCTGCTTCTTCAACTGGTTTTACCTCATCTGCTTCTTTTAAAAACCAATATACATATTGATATTTCTTCTCAAGCTATGCAGAAGAAGGCTTGAGAGATGTGTGTATATTTCACGTACTACAGGGCACCATTACGTAAGTTTAGTTGTACATGGAACTTGAAGATACTTGCGTACAAATGTTATGTCTTAGCATTCTATACAGTAGCTTCCCCTATGAAGTTGATGTTATTGACCTTGCCATGTAACTTGGTACTATTAATAAATATACATGGATGTATATCTACTTTAAAACAAACTTAAGTTGTTGGCTTTGTTGGTGTCTCTGTGCAGTTACTGAAAGTGTTGAAAGATGGAAATATGAGGTATGCCTTGATGCAGATGTAGTAGGTATGTGCCGATGACACCAAATTATTTGGACCGGTATAGGGTGCTGCAGATGTCAACAAATTGCAACATGATATTGATGCTCTGATGGAATGGTCAAAAAGATGGCAGGTACCTTTCAACGAATCCAAGTGCAAGGTTATCGTATATGGACACAAAAACCCAAGAGCAAGATATTCCATCAACAAAGAGACAAACTCTATGATAAAAAACGTAACTGAGGAAGAAGACCTGGGAGTCACCTTTGACCCATCCTTGAAATTTAGCCTGCATGTCGGAAAAACTACAGCCATGGCCAATTCCATCCTTGGGCTCCTCGAGAGAAAATGTCATCATCTTGATGGCAAGTCATTAGTTCTCCTGTATATAACCCTGGTACGACAAACGTTTAAGAGTACTGCTAAACAGTATGGAACCATCTTTTGAATAAGGACAAGGATAAGTTGGAAAAGGTGCAGAGGAAGGCTACAAAACTTGTCAAAAGTGTGAGACACTTAAACTACTCAGAGAGACTCAAAGCGCTGAAAATCCCCTTTCTACAGTTCAGACGGAAACGATCTGATATGATTTAAGGTTCAGAATAGTGCACCAGTTTGACAATCTTCAAGAACAACACTTCTTCAGCAGAACAAAGTGCAGTCACACCCGTGGTCACTCACTTGGGCTTTACAAGCTAAAATGCCGGAAGACACCAAGGAAAAACTCATTCAGTCAGAGAATAATCAACGTGCGGAATGGTCTTCCAGGCGATGTTGTGGAGAGTACCACTATCAATCATTTGAAATCTGGACTTGAGAAATGGTGGAAAGATGCCCCAGATAAATATGACGACAACCCCCAACCAAAGGAAACCATGGATAGGGACAACAGTCTAAAGACTGAATAATCCTGGATCAAATGAGTTACAAGTGAGTAAGTTTAAGATAATTTATGCATCTGACTGAAGGAGAAAACTCAAAGCAAGTAATTTGGAGAAAAGGAGAATTTAAAGAGAGAGAGAGAGAAACCCTTTTTTTTTTTTTATAAGAGAGCCATACAGAGAGAGAGAGAGTGAAGTCGGTAGAGAGAGAGAGAGATTGAGAAAGTAAGACAGTTTAATAAAAAGAAAGCCAGACAGACAAAGAGAAGTCATAGAGAGAGAGAGAGAGAGAGAGCAAGGCTCGAACTCCGGGGGGGGGGAGGGGGACAAGAATGCATTTAAAAAAGATTGAAATTGAACGCTATTTGAATTTTTGAACGAAAAAAGAAAAAGGTTTTGAACATTTCTGGGGGCCAACTGATATTTGAACTTTTGAACGAAAACATAAAAAGGTTTGAAAATTTCTGGGGGCAATTGCCACCCCTACCTCTATGCTGCGTACGACATTGAGATAGTGGGAGATAAAAGGGAAATATATATATTACATAAACGGGAAAGAGCGAGCGATTTAAAACAAAAAAGGGAAAGAGAGGGAAGAGAGAGTGCGAGACAATTATGAGCGACGTGTAGGTGGACGTGGAACAATGGGCAGAGGTAATGTATCAATGAAATTGAACACCTGGGACCGATGTATATTTAGGGACAAGGAATGACGACTTATTATCGCACTTGTGTAAATATAATAAAAGAGCATTGAGAAGTGATCGTATCCAAACTAATTTAAGGGGATCTACCCGAATTGTAAGGATTAGAGGACGTTTTAAGGACAAATACGAATATTGCTAAATGTAAGATGACGCCATTTTGTACGGATAGAGATTCCGACCGTACGAACGCTCTGTGCGACTCCCCTCCAATTAAAATCGACATCGGTATGTGTTTAGCTGGCTGCTGACCCATCTAAAAGTCATCAAGTTACTATTTTACCATATCTTTACAGCTTAACAAATTTCCTTTCATAATTTCCAGCTACTTTGGGGGCCTTCGGGAAATATTGAGGAATTTAAGGCGAAAATCACAAATTCAAATTACCGAAAGTACGTCACCGTTCTAACTACCGAATTCATGGTTTGTTTGCTCTTGTCTGAAAATATAAAGTTGCTTTTCCCGTGATTTTAACTTTCAACTCTTCAAAACAAAAACAATCATTTAAAAATCTTATTTTATAACGGAGCTACAAGCATTTCAAAACGAGTCTTCTTTCGCGACTTCTGAGGTCAAATCGAGGTCACGCTCGCGAGGACTTGGATAAACTAGCCGTGTTTTTTCGGGGTTGCCGACCGACTGTTCAGACTAATATAATATCCATTTATATGTAATATTGTAATGTAGTACTTTAAGCAATGTGATGAGCATTTAAAAGAATAAAAGTGTGTATGAGTATATAAAGAGGCATTGCTGTGCACTATCCTGAATCAAATGGTATAAACTAAAACATGCAGCCTGATTGCAGTGGAAATGCGTTACCCGCCTGCAGCCCGCGAGCCCGACGGCCCACCAAACCGACAATGTAAGTTTCAATTTCTTATAACACCTTTAAACTGTTCAACAGACCAACAACCCACGAATTCGACAGTCCATAAGACCAATATATCTTTTTATATATTTATCTATATATCTATTATATTTGTCAGTCCCATTATATGTTGTCGATCTCTTGGACCGCCGATCTCGGGACAAAAATAGCGAACTTTCTTCTAATTTCTACATTTTCTTGATTTATTTTATGTTTTGTAACCCTCTCAAGGGCTATCAGTAAAGTGTCCCTTTTGTTGATGTCGGTCTCGTGGGCTGCTGGCCTCGTGCATTGTAGGTCTACAGGAATGTCCCCATATAACCCAAAATTCATGTTAAATGATGTGAAATGAAATATAGCTATATAAAGGCATACAAACAGAAAAAAACAAGTCACATGTACATGTACATGTATGTATTAAGGAATTATTCTTCATTATTTGCAACATAATATTCTCATATACATTTTTGTAAGATAAATGTGTAATTAATTTGTGTAATAATTCATATGTTAAATGAAAATCCATTATTACATTATATTTGTATTCCCGGAAAAGGTCCCTTCCAATATAGCTTGTGTAAAAATTTGTCGCTTTTATGTATGAACGACTGACACACATGAAGAATTTGGCTATATTCTGTTCAGTCTATGAAAGCGAAATAGGATATAGTCTGACTTTAATGTTATCATCGGTTATTAAAAAAGCAAATTAATTAATTACCTGAGTCTGTAACAAATACAAATTAACAACAAGACAAATACAAACAGAGAAGGAAAAGAAAAACGGTGAATATTTTCTTGAAACATAGAAATCGAGGTAAAACATTTTTAACATGAATTACTGCTAGATTTGATTGTCGTATACAAACTTTAAACGTAACTTTGATGGAAACGATAACAAAAAAATCTTATTCCTCTCAACTGTTCCAAATATAAGAATTGTCATCATTATTATGTACATAAAAAGACAATACATATTAAAGTTAAGACTAGTCATGGCAGGGGAGGGAGTTGAAAAACTTGGAAGGCTCGTTAAAGAGGTAACATTAAATACAATCCAAATCAAAGGATGAAAATAAAAACATCAATGAAAAGAAAGCGAAAAGTTGCGAAAAGTAAAAGAGTATCGAGCCTCTTTAAAATGTAACCATCAGGCTCATCATATTAGAATAAGATTGTAAAGACAAAGAAAACTGAGTATTTCTTGTTTTCAATAGAAAAATCCATCAAATTTATTAGTGCTTTTCCAAATCAGTATAACATGTGATTGACATTATTCATGGCAAGGGTCGTGATACGGTGTGATTATTTTGTATACTCTTTTGCTAATCTATCTACAGATAATATTTAAAGAAATATATCTCTTTTTCAAAACAAATCATAGCGTAACTGCTTCAAATGTTTTAATTCTACACTATAGCAGTAGACTCATACCCTTGGGAGCTACCTACTTACATGTACAAAGGCTGTAATTTTGCAATACTTAAATCTGATTAATTAATTAGCTGAAATACGAATGTAGGAAAATGTAAGTATATACAAGTATATTATGTTTCAGTATATATTATATAAGAAAATATGAGCTTGGAAAGGAAATAGAATGCAGCTTGCCTATCATCTATTTCTTCAAATAGTTGCAAAAAATCAGGTGAAATCATCACATGTGAAAAGTGACTGCAAATATACATACTAAATGTCAAATCTCTCTAGATACATTGATAATTTAATCCACACCAACAACAGACCGACCAAAAGTTACATCTTATCTCGAATGGCCAAAATTTGGTCGGTTTTGGAGTCGGTCTATAGACGTAGTGGTATGACTGACGTATCATATCTAACGTTTCTTGAGCCACATAATCAAGATACCCTTGGAGTGAACAGAACATGCAGAATATACTATGACCATTACGGTTACACTTTTAAGATTTTTCTTAAATGCAAACTAATCTTCCCTATTCCATTCATGGCTGAAGAGAGATATTGCAATGGACTACTTCTTTAAATTAATGACAAGCAATAACAACTACTTTCCTCAAAACCTGCGATTAAAAAGACATCCTTGAGAAATGATGAAAAGCACTTCTACAAAAGCGTCTTATTTTCAGGTAATAGGACTACTGATACTGAAGAAAAGTGAAAGAAGAAACTGGCCATTACTGATACATGAAAGAAGGTTAGAATATATAGCACGTTCTAAGGCACAACACTAATGGCCTAAACCTATTTGGAAAAATCTTTGGTAAAACTGGAATGTTTATGTAAATATGTATAACTCCTTTTTAACGTCTCCTATCTATTGATATTTTGTTTTCTTCTGATAATCAAGGCAATACTGATGCATTAACAAAACAATCGAACTTATAAAATTAATGATACATATCAAAATAACTATAACAAACATTGCATTTTATAAGTCATACGTGGCAAACCTGAATTATAAACGATTTCATTTATTAAATATACAAAACGTTCTGTTTTTTTCTTTGAAAATACACTGAAAGTGTTCGTAATATTTTCCGAATCATACCCGAGTACCTGATGAACTTTGGTAGATAATCTTCGAGTGAAATTGAATACCATTTTTTAAATTTAGATTTCTTCCCTTGGGCTTTTGCGAGCCAGACACTCATTTCGAGAGTGACTACATAGTCATCGTGGGCACTCATTTTTACACCATTGTTAATGCCAATCGTCTGTACAAAGCCGAACGAACTCACGATAACGCAAGTTCCAGAATGCATTTTCAAGATTCAAAGTTACAAACTTCCCCAAGTTGTGACATTACTTCAATCAGAATTATTTCTTCACGATTTTCGACTAGTTTTGCATTAGTTCTTGTTCTTGTTATGATTTGATAATTACGAGTGCGCACTGTTCAAAACAAAAACAGGATGAGAGCTTCGGTGAATACATTTGCTGCCTAGACGTCACTTATCCGGTATGTATTATTTATAATCGTTGCACGCGAGGCGACATACCTCCGCAAGAAAAAAAAATCAACCCTTACGCTCGTGATTCAACGAAGTGTGTGAAAAGTTTCTTTTTTAAAAATAAATCTTGAATTTTGACACTCTCAAATAGCGCAAGATTGCGTCAGTCTTTGACGCACTCCTACGTCAGGAAAATGATGCCTCGTGTGCAACGGTCATCGGACATTTCTTTCACAGAGAAATAATTTGACTATAAAAACATTTGAATATCTATTACAGTGTCCTTAGCAAGTTAAGTGCACCCAGTTGCTCAAAAGGAGAGTACGTGTATCTTCGTTGGAAAAGGGGGGTCTTCATAATAAAAACTATAAATAGGGTGTTTCGCTCGATGGCTGGGGTGTTTTCGATGGCACGTCTGCAGTATAGACATGCTCGAGATTGCCGGTGTCATCCTCCATTCCCCAGTTGACCTCCGCTCCCTTGGTGGAAATCTTAGGCCTGTTTCGTGGTCGAAGCGTGGTACGATGAGGGAATGGAAGAGGAAAGGGGAAGATAAAATGTTGTGGGAGTTGCAGAGAAAGGCGATGGAAAATGAAGCAAAAGTGCAGTTGCTACTAATTGAATAAATACGAATTCTTCAAATTGGAAATACAAGTCGACATCAAGTTTATTAAATATGTAATATTTACGTTAAAACGTGTCACTTAAATAATAGATATTCTTATTATACCGGAGAAATTTCACTAACCTATACAAAACTACCGTTTTCAAACTGTTTTCATTTGCTTCATTTAGTGATATTTTCAAAAGTGTTAAATTCTTCCAAATGCACTTTCATTGCACTACATCTATGTATTTAACTCTTTAAAACGTTTGAGATTCCCTGGGTAAAGTTAATTATTGTCGTGATCTTAGGGACATATTGAGTTCTCCTTCACCAAATCAATTGGCTTCATTAAGCTCAGGAGGTGTATAAAGCCTGTTTGGAAATTTGGCCGTTTACAAATCCATCTTAAATTGCAAGCCTCCAAACATATCAATAACGGAGGACTTTCAATGTCCCCGAAAATGGGGTACAACCTGACGTTAATACTGAGTAAAATAAAAAGAAAATGGACTCACTCTTGTTTGTCGGTATTGAACGTGCCCGATTGCCAATATCGCATGAACACGAAGATGCCGACGACGAGGAGTACGATAAAGATAATGGAAAAGACCACACTGAGGGCGATGACGACGGCGTTATTGTCGCCGGAGATGAGATCGTTGTCTGGGTCAGCGGCAGGGCAGAGAAAGGGGGACAGAGAAAGGCTAGAATCAACCGGGTGGTGTTATCAAACTGAGCATGGTGGGGTTGGTTGATGATTGGGATAAGTTGAAAGTGAGGTTATTTCAAACGATTCGACCGCCTAGTTTTTCAACCGAGTTTATTGTATTTTGATTTAACTGTGAGTTATGTTACAAGTCCCAAGAAAATATTTTCCCTTTTCTGTATGATTTAAATCCCTTTTTCCGTCCCCCTCTACTTTCCTGTTTGAATAGTCCCCTCAAACTTAAATGACACTTTCTACTGATCAGATTTTTGTTTTCTAGATGAAGACGTTTTGATGTGTCATACTTTAGCATAAAGGCAAATTAAGTTTTGTATTCTCTTTTATCATTGATAAATGTGTATAACTGGATGGTTCTTTCTTTCTCTGTCCCTTACTTTTCCTTTCTCAATCTATATTTCTCTAAATGTTCCACTCTCGGATCTGTTACACTGTTGTACACACAACGTACCATCACGCACACCGGTAAACACCTAAACACACAAACACACTCACGCACATCATTCTTCGAAATCGATTCTGTGTTAATGTACTTATGTAAATGATGCACGATCATACGAAATAGATAGCTGTAAATATGCAAACGAATCCAGCAGCTTAAAAGCATCGACCCAATGTCTTGGAGTTCAAGTCTGTTAATATTTTCCCTTCAAATGGACTGGTTTACAGATGATTATTCCGCGCTGAATGCTCGTCACGGGTACGACCACACAAAGGGTGTAAGCGCGACATGGGGAGGGGGGGGGGGATAATACTCACCGGTGCAAGTCGGGGCGCCGTTGCTCCATACCGCGTTTTGGCATAACGATTCACTTCCGCCGCTCATGGTAAACCCTTCCTGGCATTCAAATGTCGCTGTTAGGCCATCTTCGCTGAGAGAGATCGAGCCATTGGATGGTGTGTCCAGGAAGCCGCATGAAGATTCTGCAAATAAAAGCGAACAAGTATTTGTAAATGTTGTATCTTCCATGACACAGGGGTGACAGGATGACGTATTCCCTCAATTTATACAGAAACCTCATTTAATGCCTTGTTCTATCAGTATCATACATATACGAGTAACTACGTACTAACATCATTATTACCACCTTTTTCTAAAGCAGTCACTCAATGTTTAATATGTAAAATCTGAATCCTTTGTTTGCAGGAATTATATACTTACGTCACTGAAGATAGTTAACGAAAAGATAATCCTTATAGCTCATAACAAACAACATGATACGCCGTACAGACAAGTGGATGCCACGATTTTCCCATGACAAGCAACACAGACTGTCCTCAAAATCTAAAAATCATGTCATTGTTTCAATCGTCTCATTACCTTAAGTTCGTCAATCAATTTATGCGGCATTAAAGGGACGAAAAGTTTGCGCAACCACCTGGCACAAAGTAGTACTGACTTGATGTACAGTGCCACCTTACATTAATCATCAAAAACTACAATACACTGACGCACTCCTGCGTTAGTAAATGGCGTAGCGCGCAACTGGGTTTGGCCGGTTCTAGCCGGAGTTCTAGCTTGTAAGATGATAACACAGACTTCGGGAAAACAACTCAAGTGCAATCGCAAAACCCTTTTGCATTGCCTACCTCCGCTACGGATGATGGAATATTTATGCCAATGCAATGCTCCCAAATTTCGAGAGCGATGATCGAAGCTACTGAAATTACCTAATGTTGCTTCGGTTGTTTGGTTGGTTAGTTTTACCTGACTGCTAAGAAAGGATACGAATGCTTGTGGATAAGCAACCAGTGGGATAACGGCTATAAATCCTTTCCAAAGGGACTTGGTAATGAGGATTAATGCTTTATCAAAGGACATCGAATTGGTCTCGAACCCGGGTCCTCCCGCTTACGAGACCACTGCTCCACCACTGAAAAATCTCGCCTTCTTTCTGCCAGTATTTGTCATCATCATACGCTAATCACTCTTACCAATGCATGCGTTATCGCCTGTTGATCCGGTCCACATCAAGCTTCCCTCCTCTGCGCTGTACGCACATCGCTTGTAGGATGACCCGACCATAATCAAACCCTCGTCACAGGTGAATGAGACCTCGGCGTCCTCGAAGTATCTATTCGCATCTGAAGAGTACGTCTTCGTACCATTATAGGGTGTAATTTGATTTGGACATGCGTCGACTGGGGAAAAAGCAAACGTAATCAATAGAAATGCAACAAAAAATAAGATATAAAATAGGTTTTTCATCTTTATATTTTCTACAAGAAAGGCCAGAGTTGTGGAATTATGTTTAGAACGTTTCGAAGTTTTTTTTCGGGTCTGACGAGTTTGTCTGAGTGACGTTGTAGGGGGGGGGGGGGGGGAATCGAATATAGACAACTGTGGGAGAGGAAAAAAGATCGCCATTCATTGAAATGCCAAAATAAAATGGTTGTACTTGGTATAAATGACACTTCATTTCATAAATTTCGATTTCCTACACAGTCTTTTACAGGACTACAAGCGTCTTAAATTTGGGATTTGTTCATTACTTGCCTTTATTATAAAGGTCCGCATTAATTCTCAGTGCATCACCAACACTTTCCATCATTTCTCTCTCAACTCATTTGTTCTAATATTTTCAGAGCTGCGGTTGGAGGCTTCGAAAGCCCCCAGCGTGCCCATGGCAAGCTCTTGGTAATCGTTGGACACCTCGTATTTAGAGAGACACGGTGCGATTTCAAATTTATCTCCCATTACTTATAAGGTAAGATTTGATGTCTTTGTGCAGTTGCACTACATTTCCTTGCATATTTCAAAAGACATCCACTCACTTTTCCTAATATTTTCAGAGCTGCTCTCGAAGGCTTCGAAGGCACCCAGCGTAGCCATGGCAAGGTCTGTGTCATCGTTAGACACCTCGTAGTCGAACAGACACTGGCTGACCTCGTTACAGGCTGGGTAAAGTGTCGGGAGGTTGACGTTCATAAGGGGTACGAAGGTCGAGTTGTGGTAATCGACGTGGGTGCGGCCAGACACATAACGGAAAAGGCTGTATTCAGTTTCGATCTCCCCTGGAAGGTTGAAGAACAAAGTGGTAGATCCCCATCATATACATGTCTGGACCTTACTGGTCACGGATCTAGGTGGACAACAGTGTTCACTTAGATCCTTTACCAGACAAGTCCTCCACCCTATTTCACAATTAAAGATAAACTTGAGTACTGGTAAAAAAAAGAAAATGAATTCTCGCAGAATGTAACGAAACTTACACTGAATGTTCAAGATTACAAATAAATGTCATGTGCCAAACAATTTTGAAAGAAAATATATACTGGCTGAGTAATGAGCATAGAAAGATAAGGACATCAGGGTAGTACTAGCCCCGACACCATGTGTGTTGTCCCATATACATCTTTCTGTGTAAGTGATTGTTACTTTACCAAGACTCTGTCAAATTTATGATGATTTTGATGACTCCAGAACCTTGCATTACACACCATTACTTACATGCTATATGATCAACTTCTCTGATCCATTCCACACCTTTTCTTTCATAATGCAATCGCATTGCCAGAACTCAAGTTTATCTTTAATGACATATACCCAAGCTTTAATAATCTGATGATTCAAAGTTCCTTGTAATCAGAGAGTATGTATACATAAAGGTTCAATTCTGTTGTACAATTTATGACGAGGATGGAGGATGAAACCACGAAACGTGTCCCATTCATTCAAGTGTTATATTTTTTTCATTGTTTTTAGTATAAACACTGTTAACAATCAACCCTGTTTAATCCAAAAACTTTGTCAAATATTGAAAAATGTTGTTACACAATCTTTACATTCGAGGATTTCACACCGTAAAAGGAAAAGAAATTTCAGCCTTTTAAACGTTGTCTCTCTCTCTCTTTCTCTTTCTCTCTCTCTCTCTCTCTCTCTTATATCGTTTTAATGGTCTAGCTTTTCATGTCTAAAGGGGTCTACATATATCCATTGGTATATTACTGACAATATCAATACATTTATGTCAGGGTTTCCATCAAAATCGTGATCAATAAATTACACCATTGTTCGATTGAATGCAATCTAATAAATCTTACATGTTTGACCGAACTGGAATATCTCTTCATCGGTCGGGTCATCAAGAGGGTTGTTATTGTTTCTACTCATCAGGTCGTTGCTAGGGTCACCATCCATGTTGCCTAGCAACCCAGACAGATGATCGCTCTACGAAAGAAAAATATTTGTTACGAATTAATAAAGAGTTACCACATGAAGTCAAATGCATACTTTGAGAAAGTCTGTTGTATGTTTATTTAAAGTCAGTCCTCGAAGGAATTTGCTGAATTCTTTTTGGACAAGTGCTAAGTGACGTATTAATTTTGACCAAATGAGTGCTCGCTACCTCGAGATCTGTTTTAGGAGAACTACCTTCTGTACTATCACCCATGACATTTGCCCTTAAGATTCAGAATTATTGTTTAATATTTCTCATATTTTAACATTTGCGATGATTTTTTTTTCACAAAGTAAATGATACAAATAAACGTGGATTTTGTTAGACAAAACAAAACAGAAAGTGAGTACCTCATATCAATTGTTCAAATGCAAAAGACTGAACTACAAAGAAAGGTGAAATATGAAAGGGCCTAGCTATAAAGAAAGCTATGCTTGTAAGTTACAGATACTTACTTCAATTACCCCCTTGTTAGTTGCTTTGGGATGGTTTCAGTTGGACAATTTCAAGGGGGTATTTTTCCGGGAATAGTTGTCAGGGGATAAACTATTCTGTACTTGACCAAGAGGTAGTCGTCTAGAGATACTTGACCTAAGGGACACATTTTGCTAGAGTTGCTAGAGTATTCGAGGGTTGGATTCTGATAGAGTAAGTTTTTCAGGTAGTTCAAGTTTTCCAATTATTTAAGACTTTCCGATCCTTTTTTTTCTTCGGTTTAGCCAGATCACTATTATTACCGCTCTTCATGCGGGCCCTGCAATTATTATTACCCAGGAACCCTTTTATACCAGGTGGATAGTGGCAAACGTGATCAATATCTTGCCAAAAGACATTAGTGCCGGGCAGGGGTTCGAACCTTGAACCCTTGGATTAATAGTCAAGTGACTAAACCATTGTACCCCCGACAACCCCATAGTTGTTCTGACACGACTGAGACCATTATTATGCTTACATTTAACGTTGACGGAAGGATCGGTCGTACAGCAAGCATTCCATAGCCATAGGTTACGTGAACACCAATGCTGGTTTCTTTAAACATGACGACCACACCGTGGATTTCGACTTCGTTCTCAAAGCTCGTGACACCCACGGCACATCCTGAAAAATATGAATAATAATAATATTATGGTTATTTATATGGCGCCAGTATCCGCCAGGTTCTGACGCTCATGGCGCTTTTACACATGAAGAAAACAAATGATTGATCATTTATCTTTTACTTTTGACGATTTTTTTGAAATAGGAAAATTATTTCCTTAGGAAGTCAGAAGTATCTTCCAATGGGTACCTGTGATTTGTTTAAATAGGCCTATCATGTATAAATAAGATAAAATGTGGCGTTAACTTGATAAACTTAGATTGAGCTTTATGGAGACAAAAGAGAAAGCTTTTGAGGGTATTCCAGATCTAGGCCTTCTATCAGTAATGCTTCCCCACAAATCTTTCATAATGCCTGCATGAAGAAGACTCGATCATCAAAGTTCTAGAAAGGTTCTCGATCTCCTCCTCACCTTGTAAATCGGTGAAGGTCTGCTGTGAGAAGTACACCGATTGCCATTCGTCGTTTTCATCCATGCTCCTCCTGTAGACGTCCATTCCGCTGGTTGCGCTCGCCTCAACGAAGATACTGTCCGAGCCGCTGTCCTTCATTGCTACCGACGACAGCTGTGTAACGTCCACCTGTTGACCTGGTGATTTGATTTGAAATGAAAAGAAAATATTAATTTATGCGGATGTGATTGGAATGATTTGATTGTAGTATTGGTTTAGTTTGACTTGATATTGAGGATTAATATCATGCCTTACCAAAGGGCATGATAGCATCGACTGGGTTTCGAACCCGGAACCTCCCTGTAAAGAGACCACTGTTCTACCACTGAGCCATCGCACTTTCTGTGATGTGACTGAGATGTATTGGTGAACTGATGGCCTAGCCTTTTGTCTATAGGGCTTTGAATAAGAAAGAAGCAATTGTTTCTGCGTAGTTTTTATAAATCAAGGAAATTATTATATGATTCCACTGATCATGTTAATGCCGAAAGTAGCCCAAAAAATAAATGGTGTTCATGGAAAGCTGGTGATGTTGAAAATAAAGACACTAAATTTAATCTATTTGTATTACTACTGATGTGTCTACCCTGAAGAAAAAAGCATCATATTAATATCATTCCATTTGCATTAATACACTATCCTCTTACCATTACTATCCATAGTCTTTATCTGCCTTGCTTGAAGCTCAAAGTCAGAAGCACCGGTCTCAGTCCCACTTGTAGCGTAACGGAGAAGGGTGAACTCGCCTAAACCATTGAATGTATAGTTGTACCTATCCATCGTGATGAAGTGGGGATCTCCAAACGATAATGCTTTAAAAGAAAGGAAACAATTTAACACTTTGATTGCCCTCTCTGCACGGTCGCTCGTTTGACACACGTGCACATTTTCACAAAATGATAGGAACCAATTGACGGAAGAATTACTTTGTGCAACACAATGGCTTTGCATAATTACCCATTTCCGGTTTAATTGGCTCCATGAATCATGTTAACTCCTGCAAAGGGTAATCTTGCACTGGAAGGAGTTTTAAAACCACCTTTTGCCTTTGGTATATATATTAACACTGTCCCTTTGATTGTTTCAATATTTTTGGCGGCGGCCGTAGTTAAAACGCTTTCTTTGTTTTCAGTTATATACAACAGGAATGAATTTTCATTTCCCTGCAGTCATATCTCAGATGCCATGTTGTTTCTCTATATCACGCCGAGATATCTTACAGCATACACATCGAATTTGATTCCAATCATGCGTGATTGGAAAACATGAAAGTAAAAAATGTGTTGGGACACACGGTGGCCTAAAGGCATTATGTTCCCGTTATGTCAGCAAGCATGAAAGCCTACGGAGGTTATAGTTTCCAATGGCTGTGGCTTTGGACCAACCGCTTGTTGGGAGGGCATGTGAGAATGCATGTGGACAGACGGAAAAAAGTCGTAAACTTGACAAGATGGCTGTAGTTCAGAAGGCAGACGATGTCGGGCTCACAGGCCTTCGGAAAGGTAGTTGTGATGGTCCGCGAGACCGACAACCGACGTGACGACCTTATTGATCTTCCAAAGCTTTTCTGAGATGTAAGTGACACAAACTGTTGGTCCTGTAGGCTGTCAATCTTAGTAGCCATTGGTCTTGCGGATTTTCGGTTTACTAGGATGTCTTACAAGCTATTCTAAAGGCCCTGCTGGAAAGTGAGTCTCGGATGAAAGCATCCTTTTTAACCGTGAATAATTTTTTAAAATTAAACTCAAATTCAACCCCTCCCGTTAAGAGAGAGTCACCTACCATTGTTCGGGGGTTCGTAAGCGGCGCAATCGGTGGTAGGTCTCAATGTGATGTAGTCAAAGCATTCCTTGTCCTCGGCCCAATCACAACAAAAGTGTTTGGCGATGACGTCATTAGACCAATGGGACAGTTCTGGGATTAGGTTCCTCGCCATGTAGGGACTGGAACCGCGAATATGGGACCGACCGGCCATACCGGCATACCTGGTATCCCCGGTGTTCATCAGGAGACGGTTGGCATCGTAGCAGCATTTGGTTCCAGACATAGTGTTAGGGCTAAGACCAGAGCACAATAGTAATAATTATAATAATAATAATAATAATAATAATAATAATAATAACACAATAATAAGAATAACAGTAATAAAAAAAATGATAATGATAATATAATAATAATACTTAAACGATAATGATAACAATAATATTCATACTAATAATAATGACGATAATAATAAGACGACCAGGGTACTTAACATGAGTAAGCAAAGGAAAAAGTAGAAAAGGGACGAAAGCAAAGAAAAGAAAGACAAACGAAAGGAAGGCATAGTGATCGAAAGGAAAGAAAAGAAAAGTGAAGGTAAGGAATGCAAAGGAAATAGAAGAAGAAAAGCAAAGGAATTGTAAACAAAGGAAAAGGGAGAAAATGAAGTAATGAAGAGTGAAAAAAGTAAAGCATCGGGAATTCGGGATAAAAAGCTTAAAGTAGATGACAGGCAAGCAAAGGAGTGTTTCACAAAGACTAAGATCGAATTTTGACTTAACTATGACAGGCCGTTCATGCCACTACTTGCTCTCACCATTGGTCTCTCAATTATGGTCTTTAGATAATAATTTTGCCTACAATAATGAACTATCAACACAAAAAAAGAAGAAAATTCTGTTGATTTGTGAACACGATTGGTACGTCCCTTGAGAAACCAATGTCATTAAATGGTGAGAGAAAATAGTGGCATGAATAGCCTGCCATAGTTAAGTCCAGCTGAACATTGATCTTAGTTTTTGTGAAACATTCCCCATGGTTTATTAACCTTGCATAAGCGCTGAGGAGGCAGTGTATGGCTCCTTCGTTCTCGGCGCAAGTGTCTACTCCGCCTTCTGGGTAGCATGATGGATCAGTGATGAAGTTCCCGACGTCCTGCTCAGCCTGGTCAAGGGTGCACGGGCAAGCCGGTAGGTTCTGAGGGGGAAGGATAAAGCAAGATGGTCATAAGGATTGGGGTAAGTTAAAGATAACAAAGGACAGAAAATACATCCATTACGAGGTAACGAAGCAGAAATTATATATAGGCCTACATAATTTATACAAAATAAAACTAATAAATGTTTGTGAAAAAACGAATGTAAAAGTAAATGTTTTAAGTGGTATTGTCAATCCTGTTGTCGATTACTAAAGAATGCAAAAGGCATAGCAACCATAAAGATGAAAAATATATACACAAAATCAGAAATGAAAAATCATCTTGACGTATTTTGAAAATGTTTTTTTAAGAAGAAATCCTTATCATGCCTATTGGGGTCATTGCTCCAATAATATTCTTCCAAACTGGCATTAAGAAAATGAAAAAAATTCCGATTTGTTGTCGTTCATTCCCAAGACTTCTTAGAAAAGGGCCCATCTCCCCCCAGCCATTCCCGCCTTATACGTCCATATTTCTTATAGATCAAGTCAAATTTTAAATAGGGCACTACATATGAAAGGAACATATAAGAAAGTAAAAGCTGATACGGTTCATACGACCGACATCCCATTAGGCCGACAACCCAAGATACCGACATATCTAAGTGATAAATTGTAATACGAAGGCCGACGCGACGCACATGTGAGTGTCGTATGCCTTCTGAAAACTTTTTTGAGGGTTCTTTAGATCTCGTAAGCTGTAGGTCTGTCAGACTAAGTGACGAATTGAGACGAATTTGGATTTCTTACACTAAGAAAGGCGCCCTTGGCGATGTCTGCTGTAATCCACTCATTGCATTTCTCCGTGGCCCACTGGACAGAATCGTCCTGGTAAGACTGTTCCAAAAGGTAGCCAAGAGGGTGTATGTCACTCCAGAGAACACGTTGACGACTACATGGAAACAAAAACAGTTGGAATATCCGGTCAGCAGGAGGATTAAAGGGCACAATATGGTAAATATTATAATTGACATTGTTCTTTTGTATGAATGGTTAAATGGTTCAATGAATCAATGATTCAAATTTATTTCCATTTTCTCGTGTCACATATACATGTTTCATAAACCATAAACAAAACAAACTGTGCATTACCAAAATCGGTAGAACATAAATATTGCAATCATTAAATGATGTACATACTTTTTTAATAGTGAACATATACATTGCATCATTATAAAAGAATTGTATCGTTTCATATGGATAAGTTCTTGAGCCTCAAAGTGTTTTTTTTCCTTCAAATGGCTACTTTTCAAAACGAAAACTAAGATCGTTCTCGTCACACTACTAAATGCTTTTCATACATTTCTATTTTCGAAGGAGGAGGAGTAAAAATACAACAATGTTAGAACGATTTTGTGCGGGCACAGGGGTACTTTTCTGGTTAGACCAAATATATATATATATATATTTTAAATCTCCCCTAGACCATATTGTAGGAATGGAATGACCTAAACCAGAAAAATTGGGGGGGGGGGGGGTGGTAAATTGCCTTACATGAAGGTCATCATATGTATTTTACTTTGGTGACCTTCGATTGTGGGGAAGTGTGACCTTCATCGGACAAAAGGGTTTCCCTCTTTGTGCGGCCAAACAGTAGACCTGTGGTTATTCCATAGTACGACCTACCCGTTATCCATTCCGGTAATTCGAATGACACCGAATGCATTCGCCTCTGTCACGTCCACCTGTGCCGTCGGAATGAACGTAAACGAGCCATCATCTGCAGTGGCGTTTGTTATCATGTATACGTTTACCCACCGAGGCCCAGGGTTGTCCTCGCGGTATGCTAGAACAGTTATCGAGAGAGCGCTGTCGGAGGGGCCAAAGCTTTCTTGATCTACGTCCCAAGTGATTTGTAGGGAGTTTCCGGCTTTGTCCCACGAGGAAGTACCAGAGTTTTGCCTAGTGACAGTTGGAGTGACTCTCCCACTTTCAACTAGAAACAAAAGGTGGAAACAATGTGGTTACTTTGTAGGAGATTAATTTGGGATGGTGTCCGCGTGGCAAAACCTGGATGATTTGAAAACTCATCAAAAATGTTGGTGCACGTCTCCCTAAATGGCAGTTTCGGTTGGCATGATGAGACAATCTGTTTCTATCAGATGTCTGTCAAAGTAACACCATCCTGATCCCACAGCTTCCGTTTTTAAACTTCCTATTCCAAATTTCAAAAATGTCCCAACTTCTGCTAATATATAATTTAAGACCCCTTAACAAGATCTTCCTTTCATTTCGTTTTCATTTACAAAACCTACTACGGGTTTAATCAATGCCTCTAACTAATCAACAAGAGAGAAAAGACATGAAAGGCAGAATGGCTAGTTAGGTGTTGAGTTCTGGTCATTCCTTTGCATTGAGAAAACACTGTCTGGAAACTAACGGGGAAGGTTCCTGATGTACGGTGGTAAATACTGATGGACGTTTTAAGGTTCTGATCAGATTGGAAGGGGATGGAGTCAAATCATGCTGAAAGTCAAATGCACTTCGCACAGAAATCTAAGACTACAACAAATGTGTTATGAAAGTTTGATCCAAACAGTTCAGCTTTTCAGCATGAGAGCTTTGGAGAGTACTCATTTTTTTAGGGGAAAACCCTCTTTTGTCATTTGCTTCTTTGCTAATATGAAACAAAGAGTTAGCTTTAAAAATATTTGTCATGTTCACCTGAATTAAACTTGCCCCGTCAGACTGTAGCTTTGTTAAACCGTTTTCTATTGAATTCTCTCTAGACCTAATTCCCGTAGCCATACTACAGGGATCACCTGGTACCCGTAAAAGCAGTGGGTTAAAGGCGCATAGTAATTGTTTTTCATGGGGAATTTGACACAATTCGGATGTGTACCCTATAAAAGGTATTGTAAATCACCAAGAGTGGACTTCACTTTCCGTCAGGTCTTGTGTAAAGCACTGTGCCTAGCACAGTTTTTCCCACCCTTGAGAGATTAAAGGTAAAGACCAGTATTGGAAACGCCCCAATTTCAAAAATGAAATGGAAGCTCTCATTACCAATCATGTGAAAGAATATGTTTTGACTAATACATGATGATAAAAAATTTGCCGGGAAACCGCCTACTAATTCATATATTTGGTAAATTTGTCTCTCTCATGGTCTGTGAGAGATATAGGGTAGTCCCATATACATCTTTCTGTGTATAGTGCTTGTAACTTTACGAAGAATGGGCCAAATTTCTTATCATTTTGATGATTCCAGAACCTTGCAGATGCTAGATGCTAGATGATCAACCTTTTCTGATCGATTCCACAACGTTTCTTTCACAATGCAATCGCATGACCATAACTGGTCTTTACCTTTAAGGCAAAAAGCTTGAGTATTTTTTGTAGTAGGACAACAGGGACGCTGTCTGAGAGACCTGTGCACGCAAAAACATATCAATTGGTAATTCAAGCAAACCTGGTGTCAGCGAATTATGATGCAATACGCATGGACAACGACTACTATAATGTGGCTGCCATGAACAACACTGGGAATTCCATTTGATACTTACTGACGGAGTAGATTGTTGAGGGCGAGTTTGCGAGCTCATCGCCTGCCTCTAACACCGTGACGGTGACTTCACCAACGAGAAAGAAAGGATCTGGGACACAGTAGGCTTCATTGGTGTTGATGACTGTAGCGTTGACTTGCTGAATGATCTCTCCGCCATAAGAGAAGACACAGGTCTGAACTTTCTCCACCGCCCAGCATGGTCCGTAGAGGTAGATTTTCTCGCCTCCCATCATTCCACACCGGGCTGGTGTGATGGACAACTCTGGAAGAAGTTGAGGAATGATATGTTGTCATAGGTAAATGCCCATGTATAATCCGTCTCAACCGCCCCATATGACACGTTATTATCATTATTATTACTATTATTATTATCATTTTTATTTTTTTTGTTTATTTGTATTACTATTTTCAGTATGAGAAGTAGTAGTAGTAGTAGTAGTAGTATCAATGATATTGTCATTATTTGTTGTTATTATTATTATCATCATTATCACTATCATTAGTAGAAGTAGTAGTAGTAGTAGTAGTTACGTCGAAGTAGTAGTAGTAGTAGTAGTAGCAGTAGTGGTAGTGGTAGTAGTAGCAGTTGTAGTAGTAGTAGTAGAAGTGGTAGTAGTAATAGTAGTAGTAGTAGTAGTAATAGTAGTAGTAGTAGTAGTAGTAGTAGTAGGAGTAGTAGTAGTAGTAGTAGTATTGGTCGTACATGTATACTAGTAGTATCTCTACAGTGGTTTACCTGCTCCAGGTGCAGCATTGCAGACCGGATCAATAACCGAATTACCGTCAACCTTGTAGGCATACACTCCTTCAACTTCGACGTTGCTGTCTGCGCTCAATGACCGCAGTGTATCTTGTTCGTAGGCGAAGTTTTTTACAATCGTACCGTCACCCATTAGAAAACCAACCTATTGAAGAAACCGAAATCGCCCAGTTTGCATTATTTAATATCATATTCCACATACTAAGAATCTTGCTCTACGATTGGTCAAAAGTAAATCACGTGATGAAAGATAGTTCGCCCATCATTGCTGGGAGAAGCAAAAAGTTCGTTACACTGTGTAGATATTAGTACTATCTACACAGGGCAATGCACTTTCACTGAAGATAGAAGTCCTATCTACACAGGGCAACGCACTTTAATTGTATACGCTGCGTATTGCTCTCCTCTTTAAGCGCTTTTAGTGTTAGTACGCAAACTTTGGTCACGCGCAAACGATAATATGGTCACACCACCATGCTGCATGCACTGTGCGTATCGTACACCATTTGCTAGCTATTAATTGGTGACTTGTTGGTCTAAAATGACGAAAGAAATGAAATGTTTCCGATGTGGAATATAAAGCAAATAATCACCTTTTGGTTTCAGGCGATGGCAAACTATCGCTTCCTCGGCAATCTAAATGTATACGCTATCTTTCCTCAGCTTCGCTTCGGAAAGATAGCTACATCTAGATCGCCTCGGAAGTGATAGTTTGTCCCATCACCTTCACCAACGGTAATTATTTGCTTACTACTATTTTTGTTTTTCCAGAGAAGCCCCTTCAGGATCAACCTGGGCCCTGTTTCATATAACGTCTTCTTATCAATAACAAGTTACAATGACTGTTGTAAGCTACTGAAATCGTGACTTTTACTTCGTTGAGAGCAAATTTGTCATAGAAATCGAGCATTCGTTATTGAGGACAAGTTTTATGAAACAGGGTCTAGTTCTTACTGAGGGTTCTGCAGTCATTATTACCCCAGCACTTGCCAGGTACCCATGACGATCGCAACTACTTTTGAAAAAACGAACTCAAGTTCAGTTGGAATACTCTTTTGTATGTCTCACAGAAATTATGTTAGGATTACATAGTATGTCATTGTAATATTCGCACCTGTCAAAATGTGTTGTACAGTGCCATTGAAATGGCCTTAGGTTGACTTTACCTTGGTGTAGAGTGGTAAATATTTATCGATATCTTGATTTTACGAAGCCGTTAGTCCCAGGCTAGGACTCGAACCCTCAACCCTAGGTTTGAAAGTCAAGTGAATGGACCACCATTAAAGGTCATCAATTTCACTTCTTCGATATTTCTTTTTCATTTTTTTTTTTACAAACACACGCATTACATTGTCTTAAAGCAATTATTGAATGTATATATATATATATATTTATTGAATATGCTTATATTGAAACGGATATAAATCAAATCTAGTTATCTCCATCATGTCCATGCACTATTTGATTGCTTTTTCTTTTCCTCTACATATTAAAACCTAATGACAGACTTCGTCTCGGGGCCCAGCATAACTTCGACATAACCTGGGAACAATTGCTTTAACCATGCTCCAGTCAAAAGTGCGTCTAGTAGCGCCTACTTACGATTGCAATGCCAATTTGTGTATCAGTGTAGAGACCAGTATTGGGATCTCCATCCATCCTTGTCCCAACGACCCAAGTGATAGATCCATAGTTAAGCAGGACGAAAGATTCCTGCCCGTCGTGAATAAGGACCGCCTGAAATGTATTTCGCTTTAGGGGTAGAACGAGATAGGGAGAAGAGAAAGTGTGAGCTGTAGATTGAGAGATTTAATGAATGATTTATTCGAGTAAACACAACAAAAGTTCGAAATAAAAATCATTCACATTAGCAGTCAAAAGACTGAATTGCTGAGTATCATTATTATATGCATAAAGAGATTACATTTTCAAAAGCATTACATTTTGTTGCATTATTGGGTATGTGAACATTGTTAATACATAAACGTTCGATGAATAATTTGTACACTTGATCATTAAATCTTTCAAAGTGGTTTTAGAAGAGGGAGCAAAACAAATATTAGATTCAATCTCCTGAAATGTCTTTATCTGAGGAATAAAACAGGGCAGTATGAAAAAGTTGAGAAAACAAATCTTAAACCAGTAACCTACAGGAAAGAGCTTTCTGGGTAAAATCATTCCTCGCAAATTGTCGGAAATAGTGCGCCCTTAAAAATTGATTTTGGACTGGCACGCAAAAAATAAATAAATAAATTAATTAATTGATTAATACATGAATAAATATATACACAAAATAGATTAATTAATTCATAACTAAAATAGGTAAATAGATTAAATAAACATGAGTTGATACCAAATGAATGAATAAATAAGTAGATTAATAAATGCATTAAGTAAATTGATTTATTATTTTAAAAAATGGAAATGAAACTTACTGGATCCGAGGCACCTGTTTGATCGAAGAACGAGACATCGTCCCACGTGACCACAATGACGACTTGAGCGCTAAAGTCGACATTGCTCCGGAAGTAAGTTTGGACGTCTGTAGTCGCTTGGTTGAGTGTTGTAGTGCTGGTTGTTACGCGGTAATATACGTTACCTCCGTCACCTGTAATATCTACATCGGCCCAAAATGCAAAGATTGTATCCGGGTCCTCAATTCGCCCGTCGCCGTCCTTTTTAAGGAGAAATTGGTAAACGTTTTCTCTTGTTTATAATTTGTTGTCTATACTTGTCAGAGATTAAGAGGCACGCTTTAACAATACACGTGAACTTAGTAGAATTTTGTATTCATTTATAGGCCCGGTATATTTTGTGTATGTATTTGTCGAGATTTGTCAACAAATTGGGGGGAAAGTAGAATTTTTTTCTTATTTATTTGATTGTCAGAGAGTTGTTTGGACCAAAAAAAAACACCTTGAAATGTGAGACGACCCCCCCCCCCCGCTCCCCGCTTCATGGCGGAGGTTGTTTTCCAGTATGGTGTGTCTGTGTGTGCGAGTGTGGGTGGGGTTGTATTTGGACCAGGTGAGGTATTACAAAATCGAAAGTGACAAAGGATAATATATTTATTCCATATCAAGAGGTTTTTTTTAAAGCAAAAAATGGCTTTTCAATTCAATATCTGACGAAATAAATTGAAAGATGTAATTGTAAAAGATGTAACTGTTATTAAAGTATTTTTTATTTCAACTGTTTTGATTATCATTATTATCATTTTAGTTACATATAAATATATATATATAGATATATACATACATAAACAAATATTTCAATTTTGAAATTCCTCCGTCGCGTTAATATACAAATATTGATTCCAAAAGCTTTTAATTTCAACGTTTTTAATAGACATGCATAACAGTTGAAGATCTACTTACAACGTCGTAGTAATACGGCAAATTTCTGTTTCTGGCTTCATCCGACTCTTCGGAAACTTCTTCATCGAAAGAAATAATTCCATTGTCACCTATCTGAATATAAACAAAAAACAAAAAGAAATAGTCTCATGAAAATATTAAGCCTGTACCAAGGAGATACCAGCAATGATATCTCTTTGCTTCTAACAACCTCCAAATTTATTAGTCGGGCTTTCATCCACCCTTGTGGACTTTCTCGAGCGATTATTTACACAGTTTCTTGCTGTCTGCTGCCTTGAGATCACTGGAGCAAAGATAGATGACAATATTGAATAGCCAGAGTTCCCATGCAGGGAAGGATTATTCCTTTTTATCCTGATGGATTATTTCACCTTTCATGATCAGAAGTGTGTTTCAAAGTCAATGGTATGGGCATCATCTTATCCGCTGTGGTGCTCATACATGTTATTATTACCCCAAACCAATGAAAGTTTTCTGTATCAAAAATAGTATCGTGAAAGTGTTTAGTAAAATTTCATTCCATTATCATCTCTTCCTATCCGTCCATTTCCTATATACTTCTCCCAGTATTCCTGTTTAGCCTATAACCCCATAAGCGGTTTCTTTTTGCGAGGGAATATATCAGCAGCCTTTTCTGTAAGGCTACCACATGGTGTTATTGAAAGTCTCAATTTTTTGATAAACAATAAAATATAATACAAACAATAAGACAATTAACTGATAGACTATTGACCATAAAGTTGGAATCACTTTTGTTACTCTTTTCATAATGCGATTGTGACAACGTGATTTATTGTTTAAGATAAATTTTATATCTTTTCAGATTTTATTTCTCATTCTTAATAGTCAAAGAATATTGATAAATTTTACTTTTACCGTTCCATGCCGTACATGATTGTTATTTTCTTCATGCCACAAAGTTCAACATACATGCAATCCTTCTATTAGTTTCTATTAGTTATTATGCTTGATGAATGAACTTGAATTATGTTATTTTATTTTACAGTTACATGCCGTACATGATTGTTATTTTCTTCATGCCGCAAAGTTCAACATACATGCAATCATTCTATTTGTTATTATGCTTGATGGATGACCTTGAATTATGTTATGTTATTTTACCGTTACTTCTTAAATCTATTTATATGTAACACCAGTGGATGTGGAGAACCTCTTGACAGAATGGAAATTCTTTTAGGTAATCCTCAGGTGTCCGCTGGTGGCTTTTTCACTGTCTTGTTACTCTTAATGTTATATGCTCTGTGTTGTCATTCCTATTTTGTTTATACATGTACCTGGAAATCAAATAAATTTCAAATTTCAAATTTCAATAACGTGCTGAGAAGTTTATTAATCAAGAATAAATAATATTGTCACAATCATTTCATGGAAAGAGGTAAGAAAATAATTATGTATTCATTATTGGCTACAGTGGCAATAATGAGGTGCATGTAATTTTTCCGTATTCACTAATTACGACCAAGGAATGTGGTCATTTGGTATCCGATTAGAAAACAAGTATTGTTGAATTACGAATGTGATTGTGCATGTTTGATGCAAGCTGTAGTCATGGTGATCTGGCAAATCATGGGATCTCCTGACACAGTGTGGTCCTTAATGCATGGGACAATTTTGCTCCTTGAAATATCAAAATGTACATAGCATTTGAGCTTGGGGGGGGGGCGAGGGAAAGGAAACTTCCACTCTGGTTACAAGTTCATTTCAATAATGAGCTCTTAACAAAGCAGAGGGGTGGGGTCTAATTCGGAGGTAGCCTTTTGACAAGGCCTCGTGACTCTGGCTATTTTCCACCCCAATCAGCGGTTGAGATGAGTCTAGCCGGCGAAGAAGAGAGATCTAGAGACCCGGGGTGAACGCGCGATCAAGTGGCGTATAGCCGCGAGGACTTTTGGACTTTGCCTTTTACTGCTCTGCATGAGATGAGCATATCAATGGTAAATACAAAATATCACATTCAAATCTATTTTACAGGCAAATTACAAAAATATAGGAAGCATTAGATGACTTAAGCAAACAATTGAAAGTGAGATACTTGGACTCTCCCTATATTTAAAATGAACCAATCCAACTCGTTTTCGTTCTATGTAGAGGTCAGTGGTTTTAGTCCTTACGTCATTCGTATTACGTAGAGTTTACTGTGTGCGTGATGGACAATATATGCTAACGTCCCATGGTGATACGTTCACTGATTGGACGCTACCATTTCGGCAGAGAACCCCAGTCGGAAACAAAATTTAACACAAGAAATCTAAACCAGATTACTAAAGTCCTCTTTGTTGACGCCACTCGCTCTGGCGTTCACTCGGGTTTTCGCGATTAGTCTCTTATTAGTCGCTCGGCGTCAGATATCATTATCAGACACGAGGCCTTCTCTGAAGGCTAATTCGGAGGCTGCCAACTGACAGGTCCACTCCACAGGCACCATAGTGGGGGAGGGCGAGCAATGGCCAAACAGGAAGAAAAAAGTGTTAAAATGTCGTAATCTTAAGTAGGTATACTTACATATAATGTGCTGTAGTATTTCCCACCGAAAGGAAAGGCTCTGTCCAATGTCACGCGTAGTGCAAAGTCATTCTGTTTGCTGAGTGCAGTATCAGCATTGCCGGTGCCATAAGGGTATACTAGCGAGGAAGAAAAAAGAAATGACTAACGATTATTTCTTATTTTATGAAATAAGGAAACGCAAAAAGCGTCCTACACGAGTCCACACTTATCTTATTCCCATAGATTAATACAGGGCGATTACTCTTACCTCTGCCAGAGCTCAACTTTTGCTTTAAAGTCCCCGTTTGTTACGCTTTTATAGAGCAGAAAAAGCTAAGGAATTCCATATGAATATAATAATAAGGAACACGGAAGGCTACCCTAACTCCCTAATCCACTGTATGACCACAGACAAACAAAACCCCTCAAAATTACCTAGTGGTTGTACGACATTTTATCCCGCAACAATTGATCCGCGTTAAATTCCTAAGTCAACCGTATTCATAACGTCAACCCTGGAGCAAACGCTATACCTAACGCTAACCTTGACCCTCACTTACAGGTACTATGCCTATGTCCCATTTGCAGCCCCCCCCCCCTCCCCACTCCAAAAAATAAAAAAAAATAAAAAAAATTAAAAAATTTAAAAAAATGAAAAGGTTCAATTCCAACGGCATTTGAAAGATAATACACATTTAGAAGTTCCTTCAAAACAAAATGGCTTTGAAATGTCTTCTTTTTGTGGGAAAATGACGAATCTACTTTAAGGATTGCAATCCTTTAGTGAACAGTCTGATTTTTAGACCCTTGTAGCGAGTGGTGAACGTCTTGTGATGCGCAAAGATTCAATCAGTTTAATTCTGGCCTTTACTATAAGTGGGTTATTGGTGTAAACAAATGCTTATGTCCCCTTCACAGCTCATTTTATGTATGTTATTACCACATAAAAAATGAAGTCAGTCACTAAATTGTGTCCGACAGTGAAGTCTTAAAAGTAAACGGGTTTCCTTGCAAAATGTGAGTAGTAGGACACTGCTAACGTTTAAATTATACAGATAGGACATGCGTGACATATTCATAATTCCTGCAAACTTGTACAGAATTTGATGTTGGCTGCAAATGGGACATAGTACCTTTAAAACCCAATTGCACTCTAACGCTGACCCTTAACTTTTGATGAAATAAAGCTTTGAGCAATTGTCGCTGGAATAAATGTATGAGCACGTGCAGGGAAAGAAGAGAGCAGGAGTGGTGAAATTTATGTTTTAATTTCTATCCATATTGAAGACACGTTTCGTATCGATATAAATCTAAGTGGTACTGTTGACTTTAGCCTGATATTAATCTATTCAAATGGGTTCGAATCATTCACGTAGAATAAACACTTAACGGTCGCTCAAAGGTCAATCGTGTTGTTGATAAGTTTTGTTTTGTACCAAATTCAAATATTCAAAATGTGTACGGATCCTGGACATTGGACCACTAACGTACGTGAACAAGATAGTCATTGCTAAAAGTAGCTCAAACATTTTTGTCTCATCAAGCCTATAGATAAAGATTGAAAATAAAATTTAGTAGGCTTACTGGCGGTGCGATTACTAAGTGATTGAAGCTTTCGTTTTGTAGTGCATAATATGTGATATGTATGCGCATGGACCTACGGTATGAGGTTTCGGAATCCTAATAATAATAATAGTACTACTAATAATATTGATAATACTACTAATAATGATAATGATAATAATAACAATAATACAATTTGTATAAAGCGATAACGAGATTTAAATGGCATTACGACAAGAGCAAAAGATACTGTAAGAACAAAATAAGATTGAATCCAATTAGAATAAAGATACATGCACAACAGGAAACTGACACACTGAGAGAACCGCACATAGATATGAGTAAGTGGCACTACACACATACAGTTTGAGCAAAATTTGGTCCAAATGTTTAAACGATATCTTAAGACATAATTTTGACTGCCAAGCATTTTTTTATCATTGTATGATACTCTTGAAGAGAAGGTTGAGTTCTGGGAAGAAGTGACAAATAATTTGTGAGCGTTATCATTGTATTATGCAAGTGTGGAAGAACATCAGATACAAAAATGTTCCCTGAAAAGCATGGCTCATCAAATGCCTAATATGGTATGTAACATCAAAACAATCTGGACAGATTCTTATGCCACATATTCGTGTAGTCCCATATTTGTGTGTACAGTGCTGGTAATTTACCAAGACTGGGCCAAATTTCTTAACATTTTGATGATTTCAGAGCCTTGCAGTACACACCAATACTTTTATGCAATGATGAGCAACCATTTTATGAACGATTCCACAACGTTTCTTTCATAATGCAATCACATGACCAGAACTCAACTTTATCTTTAAATATAGAAGAAAATGCAGACAAAAAATACTGGAAGAAAAAAGTTATTTTCACATTTACCAGAACTCAGACATGTTTATATTCTCTCAAAATATTGTGCTGTAATACATTAATGGCAAATGTTACACATGAGATCATAACTGGAGATGTGAAAGCTCCCCTCACTTCTGAGAAACTTTTGGAGAAACCGACTAAACGTCCCTTTAGCATCTATTTTTATGAATTATTTACACTATCAAACTAAACTGGAAATCATATTTGCATATCTCATTAAAAGAAAAACGTAATGAGTCCACAAATTATACACACAGCTGAACAGTAGGCACTGTCAATTTGATACCCTTATAATTTCGTTGTTCATTTGAAACTGATAATGATAATTAAAATAATGCGTTCTTGTAAAGCGCATAGAACATTATGATATAACGTCCCTATGCGTTTCCAAAGAACTTTAGAAATCATTACCCTAGCTTTAGCACCGGTAGCCGTTATCAGCACACAGTGCATTTCAAGGAGTAATCCTACCAGGTACCCATTTACCTCACCTGGGTGGAGTGTGGCAAGTGTAGATTAACGTCTTGCCAAAGGACGTGTCCATAACGTTAAATCAAAGAAAGTTTACTATTTAATAATATCCATTTGCGTATGCTTCATTCCTTACCTCTTATCCTAATGCCGTGTATTTCACCCCCTTTTTTTTTTCGTTTTCGAGAAGTATTATAAATGAACCAGCGAGTGAGCGTTCATCTCTGTGCAATATGACAATGGTTGGCGCACGAATAACGTTGTGGCGCTATACCAAAACCTCACCTCGGTGACAATTATGCACTTCTGTGTCCGGCGCTTTTATGAGCCACTAAAATTTGGACATATTCTGTAAACTCTCGTTGCATTCCATTCTGATGAATCCTTTTAAGTCTCTTATTCCTTGTTTGTTTATTTTGTCCTTCCTTCCTTCCTTCCTTTCTTTCTTGCATTCTTCTTATATTAACATGCTTCAATTCTACTCAGTGTAGCTAGAGCCTTTTTCTTTTAAAAACTGAAAGAAATAAAGAATGTTCTTAAATATATATTTATAAGAAAGTAGTGCTTTGTGACTTTGTTATTGTGTTTGGCTCGTGTCATTTTCATGTTTATTTTCAAGGCCAGATGTGAAGCCAAATTTTTGATATGTTATCCATACATGAATATTAATTTCTGATGAATGTAATTGAAAATAGCAGTAATGTAACGAAACGGCCCAACAGGGCACGTGCCTCTTCAATCGAATGAAGAAGGGGGAAAAGAGAAAGGGGAGAAAATGAAAGGGAGGGGGGGGGGGGGACGAGAATGGGAGAATGGAAGCGGATGGAACCCCTCCCCGCACACCCTGCCCTATCAGCGAGCCTTACAAATTCGCATCTAATATGTCGAGTAAGCCCCCTGCCTCCAGCCACACCCTCCCCAACCACACCTCTCCCCTATGATAGCAATCCCCCTTAACGGCTGAACACACGCGGCGCCATCTATTTAATGAAGGATGTTTTTAGTAAGAATTGGTCGAGTACATGTACTCCGGCAGGATCTATAGATGCATAAAACTATAGAGGTGTCGTAGTCTAGTGGGTACGTCACTGGACCGGACAATACATTAATCTACAGTTGCCACTCTCCACCCGGGTGATGTAAATGGGTACCCGGTAGGAATAAAACCCTACAATGTTAGAGCTTCTTATCAAGGCCGTTCGGCTGTTGCTTGGGCAATGATAATAAAGCGCTTATAGAAACATTGATAGTAAGTGCTATATATCACTGTTACTATTATTATTATTAATTGCTTAATAGTACATTAACATGCTCATAATTGGGTAATATCACCTATTAACCATTTTTCATGCCGAGGATATAGTATGTAAAATAATTAATACAGGGTAGCCATTTAAGTATTCTCGAAACACAAACGGCAAGGGTGTATATCAGTGTTTATTCTTTACAGTATACACTGATATATACTTGTTTCTTAATCAATAAACTTTTGAAAGTAAAATATCTCCCGCATTAGATGACCTATGTTTTGTGCTTGGGCAATAACAGAACAATCTCATTTCAACAAAATATTCTATTTATTGGACCCAAACTCTGAAACTATTGAAATGGTTCTATCAAAATATGCCCATCTCATCCTTCATTCACTCCTACTATAAAGAAAATAATTTCTGTAAATTACAATTCGTAACACATATTATCAAAGTTGTTTTTACATTCTTTCGGTATCGTTTGTTTAAATTATTTCTTTTGTTCCCTTCTCCTCCATTTCTTGATTTGTAAAGGTATTTTATGTAGATGGTATAGTTATCATGTACTTCTTATGAATTATAGGTCTGTTTTGTTATGGCGACCCCACTTCAAGACCTATCTTTAAAAACAAAATGTAGCCTCTTTTATACACTGTAAATATTGTAGATATTTCATGATAATTTAATTTGTGTGTGTTTTTTAAGGAAATTAATGTTCGTTGAATTGAACTAAATTGAACAAATAGTCCTAAAAGTGCCGAACCTTAGTCCTTTAAAGGCACACTGCATACTTGTAGCTACTTGCTCCCTCTATATAGAAAACTTCCCCAATCGGTGCCTGTTGGTCCCCCATGATCCTCTTTTTCTTATGTTAAATGAGAGCTGGGTTAATGAGATAGCCACCTGTCACAGTGACCTCGCTGGCTCACTGGGTGGTCTAATCCCTTCTGGCTGAAGTAGTAAAGCCTGCCTTTAAAGAACTTGACACAAGGTTCAATGTCTACATCCTAATGAACTACCTGTATAAATCATATTAAGATTGTAATATTAATAATAATGTCGTCAATTCTAGTGTTTGCATAAATCGAAAGGTGACGCACAATTAAAGCAGAACCGCACTACTTGTAGCTACTTGCGCCCTCTATATAGCAAGCAATGCCTAAACGGTACCCGTTGGACCCCCATGATCCCCTTTTTCTTATGTTAATTGAGAGCTGATTTGATGCTACGCCGGGTCCGTCGGCCTGGGACGCGGTGTGTGACAGTAGAAGCGGAGGTCTAATCCCTCCTGGCCAAACTAGTGCAGACAGGCTTTAAGGCTTTTTAATTTCCTTGGGTTGAGTTGGTGGAAGTCGTTACGATCGTTAACATCACAATCACGTTCACGCATTTATTCGTGACAGTAAAGAGTGTGGGCCTTAATTTATCTGGGTGGTATAATTGATCGCGAGTGTTTTATATTCAGCTTTTAAGAACCTTATGGCTTCATCATTCACTTCTCCGAAATCGAAATGATGAAAGTAACTTCAGTATAATTCTGGATTCACTAATCATTGAGCTACCTGACCTCATAGTGAACGCCGTGCATGTGACAAAACCGTTAAGTCAACCATTTTATGATGCCAGTCTACCGCTCCCCTTCTATCTCTACTCATTTTTTCCTCAGTTTATATGGTTGAGGATTTTCTGATTTTCTTTGAAATGTAATTATTGGATGATTTTACTCTATCGTTGTAGTTTCTTCACTGTTGGCAAATCAAGGGATCATTGGGGGCCTTAATACTTTAGGTGAAATTGTAACAATTTTACAGTAAAGATCACACAACTGAAAACCATACCTCTCCTTGTTTTTCCCAATTTTTCAAGAGTATATAATTTGTTTCCCATATGTTACGTTCATTTGCTTCGACTCGTTTACTTCAAAATTATTAAAGCTCAAATAGATTTATCTTTTCAGCTAAATTTGTTCTTATTCTGACATCTTTGCTTGCTGGGTATTTATCTACAGCATCTTGCGGGCATTCTTATGAGGGGTTAGTGCATACTCATCATATATTTCCTGATATAGCATTTTAAAAATAATTATTTCGGATTTTGCTTGGAAACAAACTGGTTTACTCTTCCTTAATTGTAATAAGGTTCTGCGGTTCATAGTCTACCAAGTCGTGTGATTTACGAGTAGGTTTAGAGATGATTCAATTTGTGAAAATAAATGATGAATTTGCGATTCAGTTCAACATTAAATGGACACAGATGTCATTGTATCAAGTATACTCACATTCAGCTTGAGACTCGGCAGCCCAGGTTAAACATAAAATTAAAACAAGGCTAGTACAAAATGAGTTCTTTCTCCTCTCCCCAATCATGATGTCAGCTTAAAATTTCAGACAGATTCCCAAAGACGGATGCATAGATTTAAAGTCTCTGGTTGAAATATTCCAATTGGTTGCTTCAACACATCTTGATAAAGGTTCCCTGTGTTAAACACCATACGCCGAAACAAGTAATCGATGGGGTAGTGTTCGTTGGCGCCTACAAAATAAAAATTATCGTTGATTAATATACAGACGACGCGATTTGATCGGTTCTTCTCCGATCATAAGGAAATGTGCTGAGAGGGAGAACGAAAATAAAATGGCGGGCTAATACAAGCCTCCACGAAGGTTAGAGGGCAAGTAAATCGGACTTTGGTAATTGAGCAAACAATTATCAATTTTTATGATGATAAGTTTGATTCGGTGGTGAGTGTGTAAGGTGTGTGTGTACTGGCGGTTTATCTGTTGGATCTGTGCTACAGGGCATGTATGCCTTATATCTCATTAAAGATGCGTTCAACTTTGGAACGTACCATGTTCGCGATGGGGATGCGTTTGTTTACAAGGGCGTGTTGAGTTAATGAGTAACCTATATGAGTAACGCTTAACTATGGAATGCCGACTGTGTTTATGAATCTGACTCACGATATTGTGTAGAATGTTTTTAAATCGTTAGCAATGATGTAATGATGCACTGTCGAGCATAAACAGTTTCCGGATCAATATGATGTCATATAACGTCAATATGTAGGCCTATCAGCATATTTAGGTTTACATAAAGATTTTAGTGAGATCATAATTATTTGGGCTAGCGTGGGGCCAGGCTTTGATAGAACACTACTATCTAAGAGGAGGGGGCGGACGCGGGCGGGACCGGCTTTACGAGGAGGATGACATGTGATAGATCAAGGGCATCAAATGAGGGAGGGGTCGTATGCTCTTACTTTTCATCTTGCATTCCCCCTCTCCACCTTTCCCGTCCTTTTTTAATATTACTTTATTTTTTTAATTTAAATTCTTCTCCTTGTTTTATGGGGCAATGTTTGTTTGTATTTGCAGTTTCCTTTATGTCATACCATGTCGCCTTTTCCAATGTGAGTGGACACCAGTCTCCACAGTCTTAGATTGTATGCTCCACAAATTCATTATATGTTATATGTATAAGGAATTTTTGTTGATTTATATAAATATACATAGGAGGATATTTATGGAAAACCATTTGATTCAGCCTGCCAATGCGATTTATTCTTCTCTTTTCCTCCTACGAAGCAGTTTATCACTTTATATCATTTTAACAACATTGCCTATAGAATGTTGTAACAGTATATACACAAAATCAACAGACGGATAAAATAAAATAGGGGAGACGAAACGAACGTGGAAGAGAAAGATCAAGGCATGAATAGAAATGCGTTAAAGGCTTAACTAAGGAAGATACATCTTAATATTACTTAATACTGATTCTTGGTTTCTCTATTACCATTTGACATGAAACATAAAATCGCTTTTGAAAGTCATCAAAATAGAATGACTATTGAAGGATTTACTTCTAAGCTGATTAAGCACATACACCTTATAAATTGCATACGGTGCGTAAACAAGTAGTACATGCGTGACCACAGACTCCGCGTCATTAATGTTAAAACCAATTATTATGAGTTTTTCTCCCAACACAATATCTTTTAAGAACAAGTTCATTACCAGGCGATTATTTTTTTCCCAAAAGAGTGCGACTTAACGACATCTAAGCAATTTTGTTACAAACGATTCTGATTTATTACGCTATGTACAAAGCATATCGCATATATATTTTCCACTTATAAAGATTTTCCTTGACAGGTAAAACTTTAAGAAGCAATTTGAAATTACATAAGTCTTACTCTGTTGTCTTTGGTCTTTTAAAATTTAAAATCTAAAACATGCCTCCACTCAAAATTGTTGGTAGTTGCAGTATTTCCTGCCTGTCGTTAAGATAATGCCAGCGATAAGGTCTAGAGTAGCCCCTAGACTTCGAATGATATTTGTTTTGAAATAAGATATGATTCCAAAGGATAAGCACTTTTAAATTTAAACTGATAATAAAAGCATATCCTTGGTGCGGCCTTTATCCATGCCATGGGAATGATCTAACTCTATGAAATGAGGGAAGAAAGAGGGGGGGGGGGGCGGGGGCTATACGAAGATATATCAATCAGAAGTTCCCCCCCCCCCCAGATATTTCACCTTAGGTCACCACAAATTATGAACGCAACATTTAAAAACATGACCTATAATAATGTTATAATATACAAGTCCACTCGAAACAAGTTTTATTTCTTGAACTAAAATCAGGGATCTCGTCATACAATCTAAACTGAGTATGATTCAGAGCACACGGTATGTCTGTCAGTATTATGAAAAAGTAATTAAGGCATGGTATAATCGATGAGATGAAAATGATAGGGAAAACAATAAATATTCTCGGCTGATTTTAAAGATAACACACCTCCTTAAAGTGTTTATACACCATGTACGTCATCGCGGTTACAATATAATTCGCAGTATCATTGATGATAAATCACTAGGTGATATCGTCAAATTTTTGTTTTGTAGAAAATGTGATTCATATAATACCCCAAATTATGATAATAAGGCTTGAAGCTAAAACCTACATGAAATAATTACATTCAATAAAAGAATTGATAAGATCATTAAGTACAAAAAGTGTGATTTTGGCAGTTGTGACCTTCGAAGAACAAAGTTGCGATTGAATTTCAAAACTGCTCTCGATTAGGCTTTTACGAACTTCCTAAATTTCTTTACTTTATACCAGAAAATGTTTTATCATACCATTGTACAACTAAAATCATTGGGAAAATATCAAGGTTTTGTTTTGGATAAACTTTTCTGAAATAAGATTCTGTCACCAACCAAAATGGAAAAAATGACTAATGTTTATCTCAAACTACAAAACAAAAGGAGACCGATTCTTTTTTTTTAATTCCATAGTTGCCGATATGTTTTGATATAGCGATCTTCAAGCGTATACAAATTATTCTAATATTATTAATACCTGAATTATGCCATTTCATCCTTGACAATATTTCTTCAACTTTCATTGACCCGGTTCATTTTTTGCTATCTTTAATCGCATGACCTTATTATTGTAAAACTCAAACTCTCCCTTTAATGTAGCACCACAAAAACCGGTTTCTATCTCATGTCGGATTGTTAACCTAGTGAGTGTGTCACCAAAAAGCAAACACGGAAACCATTGCGTGGGATTAATTAAGACATTGCACCCATTATCTTGGTTTGATAGAAATCAGGAAACGATTAAATATACATAATTTTCTTATTTTAAGAAATAGAAACAAACTCAAAGCTGTCGAAATTGGTTTTAGATGTTGTTCGTCATGTCATTATTGTAACTTTAACTGTCATTATAGAACATAGGTGAATATGTTTTCAAACATTATATAAAAGGTAATGAAAGGGGTATTGTCATTTGCAACGCTTCGTTACTTTTTTAATATAAAAAGATAAAGAAAAAGCTTTCAGATTCAGATGACGGACATGTGTTTGATAAGCTTTAACAGGCCATTTTCGTAATGTAACCAATGTATGCTTAATGCACTTGTGAAGCGTCTCGATACTAATTATTTATTGACCTGTTACGAATAAGTATAATATGTTCTCAATAGTCAAAATTCAAATTTTCAAAATGACAAACATTATGCCTTGGCCTACCCAACAAGAGGTCATACATGTAATTAAGTTTTTATAATTGAACTACAATTATTCGTAACAGATGAATGAATAAGTCGTATCGAAGCACTTAAGTATATAATTTGTTACATTATGAAAATGGCCCTTTGCATGAATAAAAAATAAAAATAAGCCCCCTCAAATCGTGAGCGCAGAACTGAACAGAAATGACTATTCAATTTCTCTAAGAGGTAATTGGGCTAACACTACGACGCTGTACCTGCAAATCAAATCGTAATTTTTTTTCTCGAGAAACCAACTGAATATCAATTTGAATACCATATTGTATATCCTATGAAAATCTTGAACTTGAATTTCGAATTACGAATTAAGTCATTCTAACGTTCTTTCATTTCAATAGGTCTTGTAGGCTAGTGGAATTGCATAATTTACTAAAGTGGACTTTCGAAATTATTTGCGAATTTGTTGTCTTTCGGTTCCAAAGTTTAAAATTATCTTTTCCCTGCATTCGGTATGTAATTCGAACCAGTACAGCTAATCTGATAGTTTTGTTGACCCCCTAGTAGTAGTAGTAGTAGCAGTAGTAGTAGTAGTAGTAGTCGAAGTCGTAGTCGAAGTAGTAGTAGTAGTAGTAGTAGTAGTAGTAGATGTAGTAGTCGTAGTCGTAGTAGTCGTAGTAGTAGTAATAGTAGTAGTAGTCGTAGTAGTAGTAGTAGTAGTAGTAGTAGTAGTAGTAGTCGTAGTAGATGTAGTAGTCGTAGTCGTAGTAGTCGTAGTAGTAGTAGTAGTAGTAGTAGTAGTAGTAGTAGTAGTAGTAGTAGTAGGAGTAGTAGGAGTAGTAGTAGTAGTAGTAGTAGTAGTAGTACTAGTAGTAGTAGTAGAAGACTCTATTGGATGACTTGGTTATTAAACAAAATCAAGAGCAGTGCCAGTTATACAAAAAATATTAATGCTAAAGTTCATCCAGATATTGGGAACAAGTTGTTTTGTTCGTATGAGCTTGTTATTGAATCGACGTATTTAGACATTTATTTGCAATAGCATCGTGGTAGACAAACATCAGTCAGTGCCAGGAACGCCGGATGAAAATGAAATCGAAACGGGCGATATTATTAGAGTGATAACAATTATAGTCACTGGAAGAAAAAAATGTTTGTGACCAATTCATGGCACGTTGAAGAATTCTCGTTCCAAACGTATAATACATTTAAGCCTGTTAAAAAAAGCTTTTAAAACTAGTCTTGTAATTATTGAAGTAACATATGATTCCAATATAATGTCAATTGACTTGTACAGAAGAGGATAGTTGCAGACTTCGAGTGAAAGATCACTTTTTGATCCCTGGAATTTAGAGATATGAGATATAATCAGTTAGGTTGCACCAAAAAAAAAGTATTGGTGAAAGGAATATGACGAGAAAAGAAGACACATGCACTATCCATCTCCCGCACCCTCTCCTAAATCACCTTGTTATTTCGCTTTCCCATTTCCCAAATAAGACCGACGCCCCCTTTTTTGTTCGAGTGCCCCCATCAATGGGTAAACTCGTGCTACGCCACCTAGCTTTAGTACACGAATCAAAATTACTACACAGGCTGTAGGCCTGGTCTTGGACCAATTTAGAACGAACTCTTATTCATTCAAAGATCACTCACAGACCACTCAACAAACAAATACCATACCGCGTCGTCATCTTTTGTGTATTTA